GTTAAGATGCAGAAGCAGTGATTTTCTAATGGATGTGAACTCAAGACTACTACCAGATCAAGGGGAGCTTCTTGAAGATATTGGACAGTATAGAAAATTGGTGGAGAAACTGAGTTATCTGACGGTGACCAGACCTAACATCACATTCAGAGTTAGTGTTGTAAGTCAGTTCTTGTCTGCACCAAGAACTACTCACTTGGATGCAGTAATAAGAATTTTGAGGTACTTGAAGAAGGCTCCATGAAGAGAAATTCTCTACTCAGATCAAGGACACACCAGAGTTGCAGGCTTCTCTGATGCAGATTGGGCTGGATGTCCTTTTGATAGGAGATCAACTATTGGATATTGTGTCTTTCTCGGAGGAAATCTAGTGTCATGAAAAAGTAAGAAGCAAAGTGTTGTATCTCGATCCAGTGCAGAATCAGAATACAGAGCTATGGTAAATGTGACACTAGAGATTGTTTGGATCAGAGACCTATTGACAGAAATTGGTCTCCTTCCAGAATGTCCCATGGATCTATATGACGACAATAAAGCAGCAATTCATATTGATGAGAATCCTGTGTTTCATGAAAGAACTAAGCACATTGAAGTCGACTGTCATGTAGTCCGCAAGAAGCTCGAGGATAAAATCATCACGATAAAACATGTATCGACAGTAGATCAGTTAGCAGACATTCTTACAAAACCACTTGGTCGAACACGGGTTGACTTTATTTGTGACAAGCTGGGCATGCATGATATATATGCTCTAGCTTGAGGGGACGTGTTAGAAAAAGAGAGTATTAGTTTAATCTCACATCGCTTGTGAGACTAACTTGTAACTAATCCATCTCTATAAATAAAGTATAGAGTGAGGGGTAACTCTCCAATAATCTCTTTTCTCTCAAAACTTTTAAGTAGAAATTGAAAACTTTAAGGAAGCTAAACAACTATATATGCTATCAGCTGATACCAACGAAGTAGGATGTGTACAGGATCTAGCAAGTGAAAATGCAGTGAGGAACTTCCAACACAACACATCAATTTCAGATATTGTTTTTTTAATCGCTGTTTAAGATGAGATCTTGAAGATTGTCAAACATCCTAACTAAAGCAACATTTATGCTTGAAATTGAGTCTTTTTTTGTAACTGAGACTATTTTATGCAGGGCAATACCAAGTCCATGAGAACAGTGAAAAGTGAGCTTTAGGCAAAACTGATTGAAACCTTCACGCTGCCATCTGCTCATGACTACTATAAATAACCCCGGAAAGAGCAGAACTTATACAGTTACAGGTTTTTTTACATTGATGCCTACAAGCTCCTTAAGCAGAAGCCACATTTCTAACTTCTTTCACTGTCTCCTTTTCTTCCCCTGGTTTGAATTTAAATCTGAATTTCAGCTTTACTATTTTACTTTTACTTATAAAAAGAAAATATGAGTGAGGACAATTGTAGTAATAGAGACTGATAGTAGCTTACAGACACTGCTGTTAAGGATTGAAATTTCTTTGTTATTTTATTTATGGTGTGTGCAAGTTTTCCATTTTGCATCCCTCACTATGCGCCATTTGTTTGCAAAAAATCCTCTTTCCCCTGAGAAGAAAACTCTTCATAATGGAACATGATGCTTCACAAATGATGCAGTCACGCAGTAAGGTTCACAGGATAATGCAGTAGCTAAGAATACTCTATCTTCTGACGATTTTAGAATGAGAAACGAATTCTGCTTGTTGTCTATGTGGATGACATTGTAATTACAGGGGATGATGCTTTTGGTATTGGCAGCCTGAAGAAGCATTTACAGACCCATTTTCAAACCAAAGATCTTGGTTCCCTAAAATACTTCCTAGGCATTGAAGCTATGATGCACGGATACAGATACGAGACAAGGATACGACACGAACACGGATACGGGATACGTCAAAATCCAAAAAAATAGGATACGGGGATACGACAAGGATTTTTTTAAATTATTATTATATATAGAAAATTTTATAAAATAGGAATGGAGGATGGACTTGAGGAGTCAGAGGAAGGAGGAGTCGGTCGGTCGGCGGGATCGGGTCGGAACAACGGAGCGGTCGGCGGGATCGTGTCGAAACAGCGGAGGTGATCGAATCAAACGGGAGTGAGCTAAGAGATTAAGAGAGGATTAGGGTTAGGGTTAGGTTTTTTTTCTTTCGTTTGAGTCAGCTGAGGATCGAATCAAACGGGAGATTTGAGAAATAGAGATGGGTTTTTTAATCGAACAGTTCGGGTTGGATTTTAACAACCAAACCCGCAACCCGCAATTCGAATGAATCGGCCTTCGACGAATCCGATCCGTGTCCGAGCTCTTTTGACCGTGACCGAGCTTAATTTGATCGTTGATCCGTGTCGGACACGGATTGACCGTATCTGACACGTGTCGTGCACGTGTCGCGATGAATCCGTGTCCGATTCGAGTCGGACACGGATTCGTGGCCTCCGGAGGTAAATTCGTGCTTCAGAGCATTGAAGTCGTAAAGTCAACGAAGGATATTCTTCTGTCACAAAGAAAGTACGTCCTGGATATGCTTTCAGAAACTAGAATGTTAAGATGCAGAAGCAGTGATTTTCTAATGGATGTGAACTCAAGACTACTACCAGATCAAGGGGAGCTTCTTGAAGATATTGGACAGTATAGAAAATTGGTGGAGAAACTGAGTTATCTGACGGTGACCAGACCTAACATCACATTCAGAGTTAGTGTTGTAAGTCAGTTCTTGTCTGCACCAAGAACTACTCACTTGGATGCAGTAATAAGAATTTTGAGGTACTTGAAGAAGGCTCCATGAAGAGAAATTCTCTACTCAGATCAAGGACACACCAGAGTTGCAGGCTTCTCTGATGCAGATTGGGCTGGATGTCTTTTTGATAGGAGATCAACTATTGGATATTGTGTCTTTCTAGGAGGAAATCTAGTGTAATAAAAAAGTAAGAAGTGTTGTATCTTGATCCAGTGCAGAATCAGAATACAGAGCTATGGCAAATGTGACACTAGAGATGGTTTGGATCAGAGACCTATTGACAGAAATTGGTCTCCCTCCAGAATGTCTCATGGATCTATATGATGACAATAAAGTAGCAATTCACATTGCTGAGAATCCCGTGTTTCATGAGAGAACCAAGCACATTGAAGTCGACTGTCATGTAATCCGCAAGAAGCTCGAGGATAAAATCATCACGACAAAACATGTATCGCCAGTAGATCAGTTGACAGACATTCTTACAAAACTACTTGGTCGAACACGGGTTGACTTTATTTGTGACAAGCTGGGCATGCATGATATATATGCTCTAGCTTGAGGGGACGTGTTAGAAAAAGAGAGTATTAGTTTAATCTCACATCGCTTGTGAGACTAACTTGTAACTAATCCATCTCTATAAATAAAGTATAGAGTGAGGGGTAACTCTCCAATAATCTCTTTTCTCTCAAAACTTTTAAGTAGAAATTGAAAACTTTAAGGAAGCTAAACAACTATATATGCTATCAGCTGATACCAACGAAGTAGGATGTGTACAGGATCTAGCAAGTGAAAATGCAGTGAGGAACTTCCAACACAACACATCAATTTCAGATATTGTTTTTTTAATCGCTGTTTAAGATGAGATCTTGAAGATTGTCAAACATCCTAACTAAAGCAACATTTATGCTTGAAATTGAGTCTTTTTTTGTAACTGAGACTATTTTATGCAGGGCAATACCAAGTCCATGAGAACAGTGAAAAGTGAGCTTTAGGCAAAACTGATTGAAACCTTCACGCTGCCATCTGCTCATGACTACTATAAATAACCCCGGAAAGAGCAGAACTTATACAGTTACAGGTTTTTTTACATTGATGCCTACAAGCTCCTTAAGCAGAAGCCACATTTCTAACTTCTTTCACTGTCTCCTTTTCTTCCCCTGGTTTGAATTTAAATCTGAATTTCAGCTTTACTATTTTACTTTTACTTATAAAAAGAAAATATGAGTGAGGACAATTGTAGTAATAGAGACTGATAGTAGCTTACAGACACTGCTGTTAAGGATTGAAATTTCTTTGTTATTTTATTTATGGTGTGTGCAAGTTTTCCATTTTGCATCCCTCACTATGCGCCATTTGTTTGCAAAAAATCCTCTTTCCCCTGAGAAGAAAACTCTTCATAATGGAACATGATGCTTCACAAATGATGCAGTCACGCAGTAAGGTTCACAGGATAATGCAGTAGCTAACCCACCCCCCCCCCCCCCCAAAACCCGCCCCCCCCCCCCCCCCCCCCCCCCCCCCCCCCCAAAAAAAAAAAAAAAAAAATTAATAATAATAATAATAATGCCCCACACAAAGACACATGTACTAGTCATCATTAAAACAACCAGTCCCCAAGAAGTATAACCTCAAAAATATAATAAACCTCCCCATGAAGAAAAGATATCCAACATACTAAAACATTTAGAATATGTCATCACGGACTATCAATAGGTCAGCTATTTGCTCCATGTGGATTAGGAACAATTGCAGTAATTTTAAAAAAGAAAAAGAAGTGTACATTAGCTATAAAATCAAAGTGTGTTTTGTGTGTATGAAGATCATTTATAAAAGCAACCCACGGGAATAGTTTTCAAGTAATAAGTGGTGAGTTGTTCTCCAAGCACAGACCATTACAATAAAAGATCAGCTATCCACTCTATTGGAGTAATTGTAGCAATTTTCAAAGGAAAAAAATAATATTAGCCATATAAGTGTGTGTGTGCATGCACGCATGCATATATAATTCTTTTGTAAAGATATGTATTTATATCATCATTTTGTAAAAGCAAGTCAATGAGCATAGTTTTTCTTTTCCAATCACCAGACTATTAAAACAATTACCAGCATATGAATTGAGTAACTGGAATAACTATTATGGGAATTATTTGAAGAACAAATTAGTCAAGGACCAGAAATGTAAATACGCAGACTAGTCATAGAATAAAAATAAAATTTGGTGTTCAAGTGAAATTTCAGCTCCATACCATGGATACCATGAGTGTGATCATCCAGCTCAGATTCCAAAGTAGAAACAAGCATGCCCTTATGAGATGTTGTGGAAGATGTTGTGGAAAGAGAGCGTTCATGTGATGCCTCCCCATTATTTGGACTTCCAGCAGGTTCACGCTCAGTTTGCAGGTCTTGAAAGCTAGCATGATCATGTGGCGACTCTAAAGTAAAAACAGAGGAGCTATTCATTGCAGTATCAGAGATATCACTTCGAAAAGTAGGACCATTTAGCACAGTTTCTTCTGAAATGACAAAAGAATTTGGAATGTTTTTGGGCTCTTCTATATCCCGTGTTTCGTCCTTTCTCCAAGGACCTTCATTGTCGTTTATGCATGAAGGACAATCTTCATCCTTTAGAGCTTCTTCTGAACTTCCATAATGATGCATTTCCATGTAACCCAACAACTGGGAATCTGACGAGTCTTTTGCAGGAAAACAATCGCCATTAATATGAGCATCACTATCAACAAGATCTCCCTCGCTAGATGATAAATGTGTAGCATGGATGTCCGTGAGATCTGAAGAGCTGTCAATCTCCCCAGTGACTAAACCTGATCCTTGTAAAGCCTTCTTTTCCATCCCCTCTGTGGAACCACTTAATCTCCCTTCAGTGTAATCTTTTGAAGGAACTGATGATTCGTATGCATTGATTTTAATATCAGAATATGAACCGCTGCATTGAGATTTTGCATCTGCATTTGTATCGCTTCTCACACTGTCCACTTCGCTTTTCCCACCGCTTATTTGGCCTTGAATGCAAACACCCATTTGTCTGGATGATCCCAAATCTACAGAGGAAGAAGCTGAAACACTGTCCTGAGAAATGCTGCATTTCATGAAACTTGTGTTATCTCTTAGATAAGAAGGCTCAGCACAGTGTATATTTGTTGCAGAGAAATCCCTTGATCGCACAACAGGCCACTTGCTGCTGCTCGACTGCTGCAGCAGTACAGATATTCCTGTGCCTTCAGGGTTTTCAATCATATGACTAGGAAGTGAAGTGGGTTCTGTCTGTCCAAACTTATTTCCATACTTAGAATGGGCAGGATCTGCACCTTCTTTGCTCTCTAATTGCTGTTCAGAAATGTGTGGTGTTAATTGATCCATCACCAATTGAACAGGACAACTGTTTTTAGGGACTTCCTCACTGATATTTCCATGTTGACCTACTATACTGTCGTCTTTTCTCCTTTCATTCAATTCAGGAATACCAACACTAAGCTGCACTTCATTCACTGGTATATCCATTTCAGCGTTAACTTCCAATTCTACAGTTTGATTCTGAGTTGCACTTGGATTTAATGAAGGTTCTACAGCAAAGATCCCATCTTTGTTCGTACATTCTTGACAAAGTTCTGTTTCTCCATCCACTCCCAGAAGATGGAACCTTTTTCGACATCTAGAACAAATTGCCATAATTTCACAACCATCAACCACAGATGAATTGCCAGTGCCATATGCAGCTTCAGTAGCAAGTGGGCTTGTAACACCACTAGAGGTAACCACTGAACGTTCAGATTCACGTGTATCAATTTTGTTTGAAATATCTGCATCAAAACCAACAGTGTGCAATTCTTGAACAGTGTCTTCGGTCACATCATCTACCTTGTCAAAGATAAAAACTTCTTCTTGGGTGTCAGGGTCATGTGTTCTTTCCCATTCTACAGTAAGCTCATTCTGATCATGCTCACTACCCTCCATATCAGGTGCAATACTGGCACCTTGGTCAGAGCTCGCACTAGTGCTAGTTGTGAGTGAAGAATTTCTAGAGAACATTGGCCTGTATGTATTATTTGATTTTCCACCATAAAATGTGGTTGAAGGAACACTTGACATAAGTGGCCTGAACATGTTTTGAGGAGTCTTACGCTGATCCTGGAGAAACATAAAGCACAAACATGACACGAAAATGAGAGCTCAAGACAACTTAAATTAGATCAACTTCTTTCATAAAAGCCAAAGAAAAAAAAACCTATTCATTTTATGCTCCTAGAGAAAAAGTCCCTTGATTAAAAAACTGAGGTATAAGAATAGGACAAAATATGAAGTTAAACCAAATTGTGCTGACATAAAAAACAACTGATATAACTAAAAACAAAATTTCATGCACTAGTTTGAACATTTGACTCTCATGACCAACCACTACAAAGAAATAAATTAGAAATATGTACAAATATAATTCAGGCATTTGTAGAATGTACATGTGCAGCTAATAACATATGAAGCTAATAAAGACCTGGAAGATATATTTGGCAGATATTAAGTACAGCTGACCCTACCATCTGTCGAACCAAAGACTCGAATGATCTTTTGGGCACTGAATATGAAGGTGAATTTCTGGATGGTTTCTTGGAGAATGCCACAGGCCTGCTATTTATTGACAGTCCATTTCTTCTAGGAGCACTGCTAGGAATTTCGAAAGATTGCAGGGAATCCACATCATCATCACCAGAAGAGACTACAGAACCCTTGCTATATGAGCTGAAGAGATCTCGGTCGTTACTGTGAGATAAGCTGGCACTTTTAGAAGCAGTAGGTGACATAGTATGCCTGCCCTTCCCACTTCTAGGTGTTGGAAACAAACCCCTCATATGCGGTGATGGCCTATCAGACACTGACGTTCGCAGGTTTGGAGGTGCATCAGAGGGGAAATCAGGAATGTTTGATTGCCATCCCCGTAATTTTTGTGAAGCAGAATTTCCACGACTTGCTCTCATGGGAGATGTCCCCCTTCTTCCAGAAGATGATGGCTGCCCACTTGAAATGGTGTCCGTCTTCCTATATGTGGGAGTTGAAGACCTCGGGGTTGGTGTTGTTGGTTTATTTGGAGGAGTGGATGGTCTCCGTGAAGGCGTTCCAGGCCTTAAAACAGGAGATGGGCTAGAGCGAGAAGCTGTAGATGGCCTTGACATTGATTGTCTGGAGGTAGTACTAGATCGAGGGGATGGGCTAAGACGATGTGGACTAGCACTTCCGCGACTAGTCCCACGAGTTCTCTCATTCTGCAGTCGCAGAAAAGACAAAGGCGGCTCTAAATAAATATGAATATGGAAACAATTGCTTTATGATGAGAGGGCAAAAAGCAGGTGTAAGCATCATTACCATGGACAATGATCTTGAAATATTAATGGGTTGACTCCGAGACCTGCCCCTCGGGAGCAGGTTCTGACGTTGAGGCTCGTCATCATCCAAAGATGGAAAAAGCGGGGTATCCGGAGGAGTCAATAACCTGCATCATAAAACAATCAATTTTTGTAACATGTATGGTCAATAGCTACATGCATCATATTATACGCCAAGAAGAAAGAAAAGAATATAAATATTTCCTAATCAATGATTTAAAAACTAGATAAATATATCTCACTGATTAGGCAGTAGTCATAATTTCAGAATTCTTTTGGTGTTTCATAGGCATTTATACAAACTCATGTTCGAGGTCTGCCAAATAAAGTAAGCCAGGCGTCAAACCAAAAATCATGCAAATTTTATCACTCAATCGAGTCACCGAGTTCTCAATATTTTCATAATGCGCTAGTATAAAAAGCAATGAGCCATCTTGTACAGGCAACTTACCAATCATAATCATTTTTATCTCCATCTGCATTCAAAAGATCGCTGCTCTCTCCTCGAGCTGGAATGTTGACACCAAGCCTGAAGTCTGAGAGGTATCTTAATTTTGCTGATACACAACAACAAAAAAAAAGAATAACAACAGCATAGAATTAATTATTGGTAACACCATAAGCTACAAGTTTTAAAAGGATGAATCGAGACATTACAAAGAGAATCATCGAAATCATCAGTCGTGTGGAGCAAGAAGCCCTCTCTTTCCTTATTCTGCATATCGCTGAACAAGGCAAGATCATCATCTTTAGCTTTGAGTGTCAATCCAATCTCGAAACTGCGACCCCTCTTATGGGTGTTCTCCATTCTGCGCTCTCTCCCAGGAGAACACCTCAAAGATGGTGAAGGTGGCATCTTTTACTGAAACCCAACCCCTCTCTCGTAGAGATCCGCCAAATCCTATTTTCTCATTCTTCAAGCTCAAGAATGTCATATGTTGATAAAACCTACAACTGAGACCACAAAGAATTAACTAACAGAAATTATCAAACAAAATAATCTCTCATTTTTCACTTCATTTAGCCTAAACATCAACCTACTTTTCCAAAATCAAGTATAATTGCACGAATTTTCTATCAAAAAAACTTCAACCAAAATTCAACAAATTGAATTTTCTACCATCAAAATTCAGTTACAGTTATCAAAGTTCGAATTACATTTTAGAATATACTACTCACAAAGCCAACTGCAATCAAAAACAGCTTACCATCTGTCATCAAGCTAAAAAGCAAGCTCTCAGCACCCGGATCAAGCTCAATTTCACTAAATTATCTCATAAAATCAGATACACTCAAAATTTACTCACCAGCTCGGCTCTGATCTAGGGTTTCTCAAATCCCTTCAGCAAGAGCTTCAGCTCGAAGATCCGCAACAATTTTGCTCCTTTTTGGGGGGAAATTGAGCTCCAGATCAGGACACTAACTTTTCGAGAAGACTTCAAGACGAAGAATGAGTAGAATCGAATAAAGAAAAGAAATGAGAGATCAGAGACAACCGATCCTCGTTAGGATTTCTCTTTCCACACTGACATTTCCTCGTCCTCAAGCTTTCGTTCTCTCTCACGAGAACTCTGCAAGTGATTTTTTTTTTTTTTTTGAGGTTTTAATATATATAGGTGCCTGTTAATTAGATATTTGCCCTTGGAATTTATTGTATTTATTTAACATTAATTTTGTCAAAGCTCGAACCGGTTTGATTTTGCAAATTGATATTTTTATTCTTCTCTTTTAACATTAATTAGAAGTTTTCATAGTGATGTTCGATATATATGTAGAAAATCTTAAATTTTCTAGATTAAATCAAAATAGATTAGAAATTTTGGATGGGATTACTAATTTTTAGCGTGAAGATTTTTATAAAGTGATCCTTTTTAAATATTGATACTTTTAAAGGCAGTTTACTATTATTTGAATATTTATGATAGTATTAAAAATATATGCTTTCATAAGCATCGGGAGAAGTATTCTATGTTCTCCACTTTAGAGGGGTTGGATCATAAATCTGAGAGAAAAAAGAGGTAGGTGGTTAAGATTTAAACGTTTTTACGCAGAAAGTAATCGTTGGATTGTTTTATTATTCTTTCTTAACTTTGCTTTATGTTCTACTACGTTATAGAAGTGTTTTTTAAAATAAAATTGAGAGAAAAAGTCCAAAGAACTGAGTCAAAATTACTCTTACTATAGAGCAATGGTAAGATAGTTTATCAACAATTAAAAGGATAATAATTTACATATGATATAGAAAATCATAAAAGATACTTCTGACAGCTGACCAAAAAAATAAAGATAATCAGATATATTAAAAAAATAAAGTTTAATGATAAAGTGTTGAATCATAGAAGCTTTACTGTGAGAAACAAAGTTAAAAAATAAGCAAGACCATACTAAGATAACAAATACTAATAGAGAGAGAAGGAAAAAGAAAAGAAATTATATAGAGCAAAAATTTCTAACTATAATTATGAGAAAATAAAATATTTTTTGTTTTAATTATTGTTATTAATTGAAGGGACTAATATCAAGTAAATTTTATATTATAAGGAAAAATGACATTACAAGGAAACAATATGCAAATAAGAGATTTATTAAAGGTCTATATACTAAACCCCTTCCTTAGATAGATTTAGGAATTAAAGTACAGCTAAGTTACGAAATGAAGAGGGAACATTAAATGAATAAAAAATAAAAAATAAAAAAAGCGGGTGGGCTTACTTCCGACCATCTGATCGGATATATGAATATAACTCTATTTCATGATCCGACGGCTGTGGTTGATTTGGAGGTTTTTGTGTTCGTTTTTTTTAAGGGGTCCATGATTATAGATGCGAACTTTTACCTCTATTTATTTTTAAACTCATATGTTTTTATTTATACCCATAAATCTAATATACTATTTATATTTACCTTTAACCCTAAAAGTAGAATATACAACCATTTATGTATGTATTGTGACCCTTAAAAATATATAAATGCCCAAGTTCTCTTTCTCTCTTTTCATGTGATAAAATAATTCATCCAGTTCAATAACATATCACCTTCTCGACCTCCTCCTTGTTCCTATTCCCAAAACAATACTAACAAAAGTTATCCTCAACTTTTAACATCCTCTCCTCTTCTTATCTTTTTCGTCTCAATGTTTTTGTCATTACCGCTGCCAACCTTGAAGTTATCGATTTTGTTGCGGATAAATTCTCGTCCTCCTCCAGTCATTGAGATGAGTTTGATGGTTCTAACGCCTTCACCTCTGAGTTCAACCATCAAATGTTTGATGAAATATTTGTAAAAGGGAAATCATTATCCAAGTGAAGAAATAATGCACATTAGTTGTTTGTCGAAATGGGTAAAAGAAATTGAAACCTGGTTGGAGTTGTTCTCTGAGTAGGAGTTACATGTTTTTTAGCTAAATAGCACTTAAATACCTTACAGCTTCATTCCTTTAGCGCTTATATACTGTCAATTGTATTTGGTAGCATTTACGTACTCAGAGTTGCTCAAAATTAGCACATTAATATCTTTTATTATGCAACTGTGAAAATTTTATGCGCAAGTTCCCATATAACATTCGTATGTAAATTTTAGAGCTTTTTAACCATTAATATTTGTTTAATTACTATTAAACCTATCCAAATTCTAATTTAAATGTGTCCTAATTCTTTTTTTAAAATAGAATTGGAAATATTTAGTAATGAATTCAACAAACTTAATAGACGTAAAATCATAAAGTTGGCATATGAATGTTATATGGAAACTTTCAGATAAAAATTTCATATTTACAAAACAGAGTATATTAATGTGCCAATTTTGAAAAACTCAGGGTATATAAATACTATGAGAAACAACAAAGGATATGTAAGTGCTAAATGAGTGAAAGTACAAGATATTTAAGTGCCACATAGTCTTTTTATTTTAATTTTTATTTTCCCCCTTTTTTATATTTTGCTTTGTGTTGATGGTTGAAGGAAGGAAAGAGGCTATGTTCTGTGGATTTTACCTATGTTGAGATTGAATAGGGGTGAGCAGGTAAAAGAGGATGAAGAAGACAACCAACCAACGAAGGTTGCTTTAGTGGTTTTTAATGGAAAGTAAAAGTTTTAGTGTTTTAAAAGGTCCTGAGTTCAAGGCTTGTCGTAGGCAAGCCAAAAATTATTTTGTCTTAAATAAATTAATTAATCTCTCATAAGTACTAGTGGGCCATGGACCGTGTGTCAATAGACCAGGGATCGGGGCTAATCGGGCTGAGGCGCTAAGTGACGCTTTGTAAGATGCACTTTACACTTCGCACGGATGCATCGAGGCTAGGTGGCCACCATGCAGGCTGCTTCTCAGCATGCGGGCGAGCTTCGTGTTTGCAGGTGACCCTCGTGTTCGCGTGAGGGAACGCGACCCTCGCGTTCGTGCGAGGGTGCGAGCCTCGTGTTCGCGAGGTGCAACGCGACCCTCGCGTTGCATAGAAATGTGACTCTGTTGTTCAGGCGTTACTGCATGCAGCAATTATAGTAATTAAATCATTTGCTGGTATAATCATAATTATTATTATGATTTGTAACGGTCAAATTGACTGTGGGTGACCCTTGAACTAACCTTAGAAGCCTATAAATAATGCCCCTTGGAGCGGCTCTTGGGAGCAAAAAAACACACTGAAGTGTTATAAAACTTGAATAGATTGAATTTGTTAATTTGTTGTGTTATTGCAGAGTTTAAAAGCGTGCAAGCTTTAGTCTGTGCCCGAAGGAACATAGCCCTGAACCGTAAGGTTATTACAGATTGAAAGATCTTTGCCTGAACAGAAAGGTTATTACAGATCAAAAAATCTTTGCTTAAACCGAAAGGTTTTAACAGATTGAGGAGATCATTGTCTTGATCGAAAGGTCTATAGATCGAGGAGATCTTGACACTACTTGGTTGGTGCACACCATTATACTATATTACTGTTCCTGGAAGCAGTTTGCCTGTAAAACCATGTGAAATTTGAATATTATGTGATAAATAGTAATAAATATGTTATATGGTAATAAATAACATATTTTGATGTTTGGGTATGCTAGGAATTAATTTGAGATCAATTCAATGTATATATGTGAGTAAAGGTGAGACATGCACGAACATGCACAAAACCAAAAAAAACTGATAAGTCTCTGCTAAGTCGACTTACCATAAGTCGACTTGTGACACTGATAAGTCGACTTATCAGCTGATTTCTAGATTTCTTTTAGGTTTCGGATCATATCCATTTTGTTTTAATCCCAAGCTTATATATACCCTTCTAAACCCTAATTTCTGCACTTTTCACGTAAGAACACAGCCACCCTCTCCCCTTAAACCCTAGATCTCGTTTTTGGTGTTCCTCGAGGCATTTGAAATGTGATATCAAGCAGAGGGAGAGAGATCGTGGACTTTTATCGGAGAAGAGACCTTGCACGTGTGTTGGGGAAGTTCAACAACGACCTAAGGCAAGATTATTTTCGTCCAAATCCATCCCCATAGTTAAATAACTAGTTTAAGATGTTTAATATATTGTTTACATGTTTAATCTTAACATGTGGTGTTAAAAATTAGACTTTTGATGTTGAAACTTAAATCAATGCTAGATCAGTAATCTTTTCTTGTTGTTTATGATAGTATCATGATCATGATAATTAGGGTTTCATTTAATTTTTTTAACCTTTTAAACATGCTTAACTCATGTGTTAACCCTAGTTTGATGTTTAATTAAATTATCATGCTAATTAATCATGCTTAAACCCTAGGTTTGTGATACCTAAATAATCTAATCATGTTTTAAATAAATTTATACCTCTGTTCATATTTATAATTTATCATGCTTTGATAATCATGTTGGTAATATTTGAGAAAACTAAGAATTTTGGTTATTTACGAAGTTAATCTTAATTAGTTTTTAATCCAAGAGTTAAATCGTTTGATCTGATCCATATTAACTAATTTGAGAAATTTATAACCTGCTTTCTATGTTCCATGTAAATCAGAACAAGTTTTATTTGAGAAATATCGTGAAAAAAAACATCAAAAAGTCGATTTTGGAGTCGACTAAGTCGACTTACGGGCAAAATTCCAGATTTCTTCCTATGTTGGTTTTGCACTGTTTCGAGATGCGTTCGTGGGGTTTGAGCCACACTTCTTTACACTACATTCATGAACACACAAATACAATATCGTTGCATACACATGGGTATCCCGAAGAGGATTAATACAAGTTTGATTTGTTTACACTCGAGATAGAGGTTGATTACACAGTTTATATGTGAGATGGACATTTTTGATGAGCTCAGTTCAGTACTACGTGGGGTAGTATGTCAATATTCTATTTGTACAGGCCATTGAGTCGGGTTTGGATGCTTTGTCTATCTGTCCGTCCGCAAGAGGGCGCGATAGAGCTTGTGAGCCATCTTTTAGGATACCTATATGGTAGGCCATCCCGTACTCATGTTACGCACTGAGATCGCGATGAGACTAATGAGCCATGTACACTGTTTAGGATACCTACAGGATAGTCTGTCCCGCATGATAATGCGATAAATCATATCTTATAAGGATTTCATTGTAACGATTATT